ATGCATTATATAAAGGTACAATTCCCAATGAGAAATGTAATTGTGTTGTATACCTACAATGTACCAATAAAAGAATTTCATACAAAAAAAAAAAAAGTTGATTACCACAATAGGAAAAATGGGCAAAATTTAGGAAAAATTAGATAACATCATCTCTCTTTTAAAAATATTCCAGTATTACACACTCATGAAAAAATCCTTGGAAAGCCTCCCATATTATATGGATTAATAATTCAAAATGATTTTGGCCTCCAGTTATCTGTAGCTGTGATTCTTCTATTGTTCTACCCATCCTGTCCACATTCTTGCCTATTCCAGCTGTTTTAGCTCCTTTGCTCTTATTTCTGCCACCAGGTCGCCTTTCCTCAGACACTTTGCATGTGTTATTTTTTCTCTTTGCCCAAACAGCTGTAGGGCTCCTAATCTAATCTTTCTTCATGTGTTTTTTCAACTACTCCTTTCTCAATGAAACCTTCCTTATTTAAAATATCACTTCTAATAAACTGTTCCTATTTTATTTTTTCAGCTAATTCCATATATGTGCATTCTTTAATCTGTTTATAGTCTGTTTCTTCTCCACAAGAATGGCAGCACTGTAAAGGCCAGAAAGCCTTTTTTATCAGTTTTGCTTACTGTCATAATCCTAGTCCGGGAAATAGTGCTTAGCACACAGACAACCTCCACTAAACTTTTATTACGTGAACACATAAATCATATATAGATTATTAAATGGTTATATTTTTTATGAAAATAAACCCTAAAAATTATAACTATTAATTATCTTAAAGGAGACACCCTTGTAAATTTCTGTTTTTTTCTAATAATTTATTTTCACAAATTAAAATTGTAACAGCACAGATTATATTGACAGTGATATACAAGGCATTTTAAAATATTTATTACTTTTTCTAATACTCCCTTATTTTAAAAGGCAACAATTGTTTTAAATAAATCTATATATTCTTCAAAAGTGCTGTTAGAGTTATAGCAAATAATCCCGAGGTCAAATAGTGAGGATTAACAAATTGTCAAATTAACTAAATAGTTACATATCTGAATTATATGAATTCAAACTCAAGAAATAAGATGCCTAACAAATAAAAAAAATAATAAGTACAGGATAAATGCTTTGTTCTGAAGTTCTGAGAAAAGTTTAGTGAGTTTTCAAAATACTGTGTAATCTAGAGTGACCAACACAACTTTTGCTCTGTTCATTCATGTATCAACTAACAATAGTATGACTGTGATGTAGCTATTGGAAACTTGGGTCTGGAAGTCCATGTTCAGAAACAGAATAGAATAAGAGCTGATTTTATTAGGTTGAGTGATAGGCTATTACGTTAATGGTTCCATTTGAGGAGAGGTGGCCCTTGCTCATTTTAATGCTGACTGTGCTTCATTTTGTAATGACTTATAGTTTTCTGTCAGATGTCGGCACTCTAATTACCCAATACATATGAAGAAAAAGTTGATACAAATTCAAATACATTTTACCAAGTTATATCCAGTGCTATCACCAATATAGTATTGTTAAAGTATCTTTTGAGTTTCTGTTAACTGAATTAAAAATAAGTGAATTTAAGTAGAACTATCAGCCAATGTCAGGAATATATGGTTACTTTTTCTACCAATAAATATTTCTGCAGATAGGAGACTAATGAGGCCTACAGTAATACTGCCTTTTCATGATTATTAAATACATAAATTCTCAAGAGATATGAATAGATTTAGGTCATGTCAAGCATAACTGCATAGAAAACCACTTCAAGTACTATACCTCGCATAGCATATAATGTAGGATAAAGGAATGTATTATGAATATTCAATTATAGAGGATAAAAGTAAACACTGACATTTTGAGTTATATGTTTCATGCTCATAACAACTGAATAATTTTTAAAAATATAAATGTTATATTATTTATATTTCACTGGCCTTGATATATTATACCAGGATACTGTTAGCCACTAAAGTACAAAAAGATCTTTCAGTAAAGAAGGTATTCCACTTTTATTCCATTTTGCTCAAACTGAGAAAGTCTTGATGTTAAAAGCATTTTATATTTTTTATGAGATTATCAGTTCAGGATTTTCTGAAATCTCTCAATTTTTTCTTCACTTCAGATTTTCTCACAGGTAATAATAAAGCTATTTTGATAGAAATGCAGCCATCTTATGATTTTCCTTTTAAATGGGACTCCACATTTCCATCAATTTGAAACAGTAGGAACAGCGAAGTGTAGTGGGGTGGAAAAAGAAACCGTGGAAGCCACAAATTCTTCTGAATGTTTCAGGAATCCAAAGACTTTAAAAAAATCCTTTTTAAAAAATTGTGTCCCTAGTTCATGGTGGTCCCTGTAAATATTTTCTAAATCTAGTCCTGTCTCCTTCTATCACCTTTTTGTCTACTTATTTTTCTCTACTGCTAATATTTTGGAATGTTTAGGTTTGGTCATTTATATATTTTCTAGGATTTAACTGCTGTATCTCTACTGTTTAGCTCTTTTTCCTGTTATTTTCCTACTGTTTGCTTTTTTTCACATCTCTTCCTTCTGATGTATCATTTTAGGCTTATTTCTTAATCTAGTTTTCTTTAAGGTCATCATATCAGATCTTGCCTTTAAAATTTGTATATAGTAAACCTCAAGTCCTATTTATATTTCATCTAAATAGTATATATATGATATATTTTAAATAATATCCTGAAATTCTGATATTCATATTTTCCTTAAAAATTATTAAAGAGCAATTTTTTTCTAATTGTTAAACCACTTAATAAAGGTATCAGTAAAAACTTCAAAATATAAATGAGGGAGTCTAATATAGTATAATGTACTGTATTAGTAAATGGCTCTGTTTTTGAATTTTATTTTAGGGTAATAAACGATTAAGATTTTTCTAAGTGGTTTATTAGACTTCATGAAAGTAGGAACATTTGAAAACCTATAGATTTCTTTCACAATAAAATAAATATAAAAGAAACATCTTAGTAACATCTTTGAAAATAGGTATTAGGTGTGTTTGCAATTAGGTAAATCTCTCTGAAACGTAAATTCAGGGACTAATATTGGATTTTATTTCAAACAATCCCTTCAAAGCATATGCAATGGTTGCTAGGCAACACAATTTAATATCAACAAATGATGCCAAGTTATTTCTGCAAACTGTAATTGACTTGCAAGTCTTGCTGCGTAAAAATTATAGAGAATGTGATTATTTAAATTTAAATAGTTATGTTAAAATGCTAATTTTTATAATTTAAAAAACTATACCACAAAACCTACATCTTAAAACTGAAGAAAAGAAATGCCTTCCTGGATCACAAATGTGCAACAGCCTGAAAAGTTCCTCTTCTACCCTTTGGGAAAGCATAGAACATATTGGGATCACTTTTTATGCTGGTCTACTCACCTAGCTTCTCTGATGAGTTAGCTGTGGAATGCCTATATGGAGGCAGAGCTCAATTAGTGTAATTTATGTATCCTTGGATGTCAATCATTTCTGTTGAGAGGTGGGACTCACAGGTTCTCAGTGCATTAATTAAGAGCTCATCTCAACAGAGCCATCTTTCTACCTAAGGACCAAAAAGAAAGTTTTAATTAGATTTTTAAAAGCAATATGTCATATATGAAAGCAGGTATAGTTCTTTAGCTGGTATGAGAGGCAAGCACTGGAAGAGAATATTCCAAACAATACAAAGGGCACCAGTTCACAATCATGTGACATTATGAGTAAGAGGGGCAGCATCAATCTTAAACACTGGTTTCCACTCCTGGACAATCACTTCATGGTAATCACTGAAGTTTTGACTCTTTGGTTTCATTGCCAACATAATTATTGGACCCTTGTCTAATTATTGATGCAGAGCTGTTGCTGATCGAGTGCAATTACAATGTGGAGGACGGACAGTATTTTTCTCTGATGACTGGCTTTTTGTTCCAGCCTAGCTTCTGACTGAATATGCAATGGACAATACAATGCAAGTTCAGCAAAAAAGAGTGAGAGAACTTGCAGAACACATCAATTTCATTGGCTCCATGATGGAGTGAGTATGCCATTGCTGGCTAACCTAAAAATATAGAGACTTGGGAGAGGTAAAAACTAGCTAGGCTCACTGGTGTCAGCTGCTTGAGGCCGCTGTTCTCCTGGAATGGCTTGTGTGAGGCCATCAAACATACTCCTTAGGGCTCACTTGGGAAATAATAAATACATTATTGATTAAAATATTTATAAATTAAGGGAGGGAAAACAAATTTTAAAAGCTAGTCCAGGTTCTAGAGGGGAAATATATCTACTAATAGCTATTAACCCCTCCCCCCACAATCCAGGAGGGGGGTTAGAATGTATACATGAGAGAACAAAACAAAGGAGTTTGCCAATACCAAGGAAAAAGCAAATAGTAAAAACAAAAGGAAAACAGTGTCAAACAGTCAAAATACTGCAATATGTCTTAGAAATAATGAAAAAGTTCCCAAACCTAAATATTCCAAAAAATCATCACCAGCAAAAATAGAAATACCAAATTTCTGCTTTTGGAAACATACAGACAATGGGGAGATATAAACCTAAGCACAATGCACATGAAAAAAATGAGGTAATAATCATGAGGATGTTTCTAACAAACAGGACTGGTGCAATGGGCAAATGTTACAGAAAGCAAAGAAAGCTCTGCTTTCGGGCTCAAAATAACAGAATGTGTGTTCCAGGGTTCTTCATTGGTATTATATTTTATTTTGTTTTTCTAAGAGGGGGTGTTAGGAAAGCCAGTTACTATATACACTATAAATTTACCACCTAACTAGCATACCTGACATGTACTGAATAACAGCAACAAACCTGACAAAAGAAACTATAGATTTTACAGGTACAAGGTTTTTGTAGTATGTTTCTAAATGATAGTGTGTGATGGAAACATTACTATATAGAAAATTTGTCAGATGAATAAGGCTGGAAAATCGCAACGTATCATTTATGTTAATGTTCATAAAGATATTTTATAATCTTTTCTCAGCTCTTTTCCTTCACATATTTTCCCAGCTATTTTGCTCCATTTATTGTGGTGTATAATGTTTATTGCACAATACGTATAGTAGCACTCCCCAGATACAAGTTGGCAATTGTGCTGGTTGCACCAATCTTGTGTGCCTGATAAATTTATGTAATACAACATCCTGCATTTGAGGATGATTATTGTGTCCTTAAATGCATCTTTTTATTTGCATCTAAGCCAGGATATATTACAAAGTCAAATTACCTCATGGGCATATTATACTCAAGGATGTCCAAATGGTAATACTAGTATACATAGTATTGTACCATATGATTATATGCAATTTGTTTACTTCAGGAATCTCTTTGTTTTCCTAGCAATATTTAAATGGTTTTTGTAATAGACTGAGAACAGAACATTTAAAAATTTGTGGATATTTAGCGTGTGTGTGTGTGTGTGTGTGTGTGTGTGTGTGTTTAAAGCAGAAAAATATCATGGGTGCCTCCTCATGTGTTGTCAACTCCACCAACCCTGAAAACAGTTACACTTAGTCTTGGGATCTGAAGGCTCTCTCTAGGGCACTGACCATAGTTGCTCCTTTATATACCCCTTGTCAGTTTCTGTGAACCATGTTACTTGGTTAAGAACATGACAGAAGAAATAGGCTTCAGAAAAGGCAGTTTGTTTTTGTTATTTCAGCCAATGGTACACATTTTCATACTGCTTAATTTGTAATTTCATAAGGTCCCAAATACAGGATTGTGGGTAAAAGTAAGCCTTTTCCCAAATGAAAATTTGTTTTTCTGTATAAAATTTTTTCAACTCTTTGAAGTAGAACAATGTATCCATACTAGGATTCTTGCTCCAAAGTTGCTTGCAAAAGTGCCATTATTTCCAGAAAGATACCTTGGTTCATCATCTTTCCTACACTTATTATGGGAAATCTACATGATTTTTCAAAGATTCCTGGAGTTTGCAAATTCTTTCAGATCCTTGCCTTGACCTCAGACTCCTCTCTCCAGAAAGTGATTTTTCTTTGGTACTGGGGATTAAACTCAGGACCTTGTGCTTGTGAGGCAGGCAGAAGCACCACTGAGCTAAATCCCCGGCCCCAGAAAGTGACTTTTATGTTACTTGCTACATGTTCCCACCCTTTTTCCATTTAGCAGACACAATGGTAGTTGTCACACAAGAAAGTACATGACAGTGTTTCTTCTTCAAAGATTTTGATGAGTCTCCGAGTTCTTCTCAATGCCAAGAGCTGTTTTATGTATCCCTTAATGAGCTGGAGGCTTATATAACAGTGAGTACTCACAGTCACATCATGGAGGTGCAATCTGTTTTAATTCAAGTTTTGAATTTGTCCACTGTTTTGCAAAGAGCACAACAGAGTTGATATTACTGGTTTTTAGTGGTTTGGGGATATATACACTTTCATAAAGCTGTGTGGCTCTAGAAATCAAAGATTCAGTGCATCTACTCATAGAAGTTTTTACTAGGTGGATCTGTAAAATTTTTGGAAGAGTTAATTCATTCACTGATATCACCCAAACTAGTATATATTAATTTGCCACAGTTTTTATACTCATTGGACTTATATCCAAAGGCAAGCTATAATGAAGCTATAGAGAAACTGACCTAGTTCTATATTCTTATCACTGGTGATTAATTGTAAAAGAGCAAGTTTATTGTCAGACTCCTCTACTCTTTTTGAAAAAATTATGTTAGAAGGAATAGAAATTTCACATTAGAATATGTTGTGAAAAAATATATAGATATTAAATTAGAACTTTGGGTTGAAAAAAGCATCATAAATACCATTAACTGGGACTTCCAGAATCTTTTGCATGACAAAAACACCACATCTGAGTTTATTTTATAATTCAGATTGGCAATTATGAAATGAATTATCAGAAACTTTCTTACTTCTGTTAATGTAACCCATAGAACAGATTTTACAAATCCTAATTCAGTCCACTAATGCCAAGAGAGCAAATCAAGTCTTGCTCTAGTATCTCCTAGAATGTGTAGGTTTGGGGAAGGGAACTGGATTAGTACTGTGCAAAATCTTCTTGCTTAGATAGATTTTTTTTTTTTTCTAGGCCACATAGGAGAGATGACATCTAGGTAAGCTATCAGTCTTTTATCTTTGACATTTTATTATTTAGATTTAGTGCTAAGATACTTTATTGTACATAAGCCTAGAGGTTTTCTGCTTGGATATGTTTATAAGACAGAATAATAAATAAATGATTTAGCCCAGTGTTGATGTCAGGATTGCAGTAAATTTCATATTTTAAAAAACTTTTCCCAATTTTGACTGAAGAAAAATGACTAGTTTCTAGTGACTTTCTTGATATTTAAATTATTAGAGGAAGAACAATCCTTAAGTTTTATGGGTTATGTTAGTGAAGTCAACTAATCTATTTTATATTGAATGGTACGAGGATCAAATAGTTTTTTATAATTCTTTTCTCAGTTTAATAAGTCATTTCAGGGAAGCAAAATAATGTACTCTAACAAGTTCTAATGTAATTTCTGAATAAAAATAGCAATCCTGCATAAATGAAAAAACTGGCAGTAGTGAAACTACCCAAAAACATCTTTGTAGGTAAAACTACAGTGGTAAAAATTAGAATAGGAAAGTCCTATTTATTTATTTCATTTAAAAATAACATATTTGTTTCATATAAAGACATTCTGCATTTCCTGGTAAATGTGACTATAATAGCATACATTGCCTATGCTATTATTGCCTATGTTTTACATGCATCTTTAGTAATTTAAAAGATTTTGTTGTAAGGAACACAGAAATTGGAGAACTTTTAAATATTCAACAAATATTCAATATTTCCAAATAATCCTGTAAATGTCATGACATTTGAAAAGCCTTACTTTTATGAGTCTATTTCTTTAAAATTCCTGTAGAAATTATGCACAGGAGATTTTAAAGAGAATTTTTGGTTATTGTACAGTCCATTTCCACTCTGTACCACAGTTAAGTTATTTACCCCCTATTCTCATATTCTCAATAACTCAAAGCAAGAGAAAATAGTGGAGAATTTTTTAATACTATGGAAAATCTTGATATTTAGAGTAATATTTAACCAGTTACATTTTTGTGCAAAATGTAAATCTCTTAGAAAATTGGTATTCTGCAGTTAATATCAGTTTAACTATGAATCTTTAACTCCATATAAGTATGTTCATATGTATGTATATGTTTAATGCCCAACAAGAACATTTTCAACTTCTACTGATAGTACCAAGAAATGTGTGCATGTGGTGGTGATGTGTGCACGTGAAAGAGAACTTGATTGATCCATTCACACATATGTTTATTCAGTGAATTTTTGTTGAGCCCCTAAACAAATAGAAAGCATTAAGTTTTGGGGGTAAAAAAAGCTGAGCTTCATTGAATTTCCATTTTAGTAGACATAATGATAAAATTGCTATGTAATATCTCAATATATTTTACCTAGTTAGTCTCCATATTTACCTATTTTATTTGCAAAGGTATCCTGATTCTATTATCAATTCAATGATGTTCACTTCCCCAAAACATTTGAAAACATACTTCATAT